CATTCCCGTAAAGGGAAAATAAATCTTATTTTTTTCCTTCAAATAAAAAGATAATCTTATTATAATCATGTTGCTCCCTGTCTCTCTTCCTCCTTTATTTGATACATTTATTGGTTATCATCTGTGTGGCAGGGAATATACTACATTCCAGAGGACAGAGATGAGTGTAAAATGATTCCTTTCCCTCATGGAGTTCATAAGGAGTCAAAAATACTTGTATACAGGGCTTCCCTGGTGGCACAGTGGTTGAGAGTCTGCCTAAAAAAAAAAAAAAAAAAAAAAAAAAAATTATCTACTACCAATTTTAATTTTAATGTTCAACAATTTAATAAACATGTCATCAATCCCTCAACATGAAATTTGTGTCTACAAACTAATCAGCATTTCCTCTTCCATATAATTAATGACATTTAATATACAAATAAAAGTCCCTCCCTCATTTGCCCGAGTTGTTAATACAAATTTAAGGTGATAATATTCCACAAAGAAACTTATCATGGGTTGAACTGTGTCCTGCAAATAGAGAGCATGTTGGAGCCCCCTTCCCCAGTACCTCAGAATTTGGCCTTATTTGGAGACAGGGTCAAGTTAAGAAGAGGTCACTGGAGTTAAGACCTAATCCTATATGACTAGTGTCCTTACAAAAAGAGGACAAATTGGATTCAGAGACAAACACACACAGGGAGAACAGCATGTAAAGCTGGAGTGATGCTGCCACAGCCAGGGATTGCCAACAGGCGCCAGAAGCTGAAAGAGGCAAGGAAGCATTCTTCCCTGGAGCCCTCAGAGAGAGCACAGCCCTGCGGATACCGTGATCCCGGACTTTCAGCCTCCAAGACTGGGACGCCATAAATTTCTGTGGTTTAAGCCCCCCAGTTTGTGCAACTTTTTTATGGCAGCCCAAGGAAACTAATACAAAACTGAATCACCATAATCCACAGTCACGCACTAAGTGCCAACCATGGGCAAAATTAAAAGACTGCACATTTTTATGTGTGTGTATATATGTACATGTTGTACACGGATGTTGCAGGAATATGTAGGTATACATATGCGGAGTGCTTAGCAGAAGATGGCTAGGTGCCAAGGGAGAGGGTAGCCTGGGTGTCCTATAGCTCAAGAGAGGGGATAATCACCCAAGCACAGGCAGTCCAGGAAGGTCGTGGGGAAGCAGGCCTTCAGTAGGGCCTTGAAGGGTGAGGAGACCTGGATAAACTGAGTGTGGCTGGGCAGAGAGTCATAAATGATCCAGATTTCATACTTTTAAATACTAAAATAATGGTAATACAGCAATAAAATATCTGTCCATAAAAGTAACACCATGCAGAGAACACTGAACACCAACTCAGCCACCAGTAGGACAGGACTCGGGAGAGCAAAGCTGATGTATGGGGTGTGCATCCTCCCGAAAGCGGCCAACCTGTGTATGGAGGAGTTCTCTGACGTGAGGCTTGTGCAGAGAGAGGAGGCGAGGCCCAGGCGTGCTGGCAGAGCGATGCTCAGAGGAGGACATAATAACATCAGAAAAGATGCAGCAGGCACAGCCCAAAAGGGAGGAGGAGATGCAAGACAGGCAGTTTCAGGAAGGAGAATGACTTCTCCAGGGGGGACGGGGGAGAAAAGCGAAGAACCAGGGCCACTGGGTTTGACAAACAAGGGGAAGGAATTTGGCATTAAGTCATCGCCTCTCTAATCAGTGTTACAGGCCAGACACTGTGGTGGGACCTTTGCATATACTAGCTCAGTTACTCTTTGCAGCTAGAATTTAATGTGCCTACTTGAAAGATGAGGAAACTAATAGCAGAGAAACAAAGTGTCTGGGAGCCACCCCTGGACTGGGGAAAGCAGTCTCGGGGCAGGTGGGATCTTCCTTAAGAGAAAGACAAAGAGAAAGACAAAGAGAAGCAGGCAGCTGGGCATCTGCCTTAGGAGCAGGAAGCCGTCCACATCCACCCGAGGAACCCATGACTCCAGAGAAAGACGCTGCCTCTGTTGTAATTACCTCCAGAAGCCTCCAAACACCCCATCCTGAAGCGGGGCAACCTGTACCACCTGCTACACCCTTCCCCCCCTCCACTGTAATTCCTCTTCCTGATGATTTGGGGCCAGTAGACAGAATGGCCCAGCTGGCAGTGGTGTCTATGTGTGGCCAGCTGCCCCATGGCATCCTTAGGTCCTCAAAAGACACTAAGCATCCTCCATGACTGTGAAAAAGAACAAGGCCCAGTCCTGCCCTCAGCCGGCTGAAGCTCTAACAGGGCCCTGGAAATCCTCTGAGAAGTTTCACTTTATCAGCAACTCACTGGGCCATTTACAGTTATATTTATATCCGAGCGAGCTCCAAACCCCACCTTTGCACACCGCAGACCCCTCCAAAGGAACCAAAGTCACTTCACCAGTGTTCCCGGCATCTTGCAATTTTGTGGGCTATGTATGATGTCACAGAGAGGGGCAGCCACACCAAAGGCACATCAGAGGAGCTGGCACCCCCAGGGCCTCCTTGCTGGTGCCTGCCTCTGGCTCCCAATGACTCAAGACCAGGCATCACCCAAAACAGCCTCACAGTTACCACCAGGACCTTCAAGAGCGGCCACCACCCAAGGACTTCGGTTCTGGGGTAACAGCCAGCCGCACCCTCCTCCTCTCTACCCCAGGTCTTCTGCAGTGAGTCACTGATGCATCAGAGATGGGCACTCAGGCTGCAGGACTGGTCCCCCCAGTCTAAGAAGCATCCTGGCGCATCCTCTCCCCCAGCATTTCTCCGCACGCCCCTTGAGTTCCCAGGCAGGAGGGTGTAGGGTGCAGGGAGACTGGAAGGACTTTGTCCCCCACCAGCACCACTTTCACCTGGATTACATCCTGGATTACATCCTGGTTCAGGATGACGTTTTGATCAAAAAAAACCCCAAAAACACAAAGAAAAGAAAAGGAGAGTCTAATTGCTTTTAAAAGTTTGAAAAGCACTGTTCAAGACCAATAGGCAAATCGGTACACAACGTGGTTACCGATGCACCCGTGACACAGAACACATTGCCTCTTTCCTCGGGAATACTTGACTATTCTTGTGCAGTGACATGCCCTCCAGTGCCTCAGAACATCCACTGTCCAGTGTCAGCACCCAGAAGCCCCTCACAAGCATCTCCCCAGGCGTGCAGCTCGGGTCTAACTCCCAAAGACCAAATTTCCCACTGTGTCTACCATGCATACGGGGCCCTTGTCCTGTCACTCACCCCAGCCTGGGCCCTTTTCTCCAGCAAGCACTCGTTCTGATTCCCCATGTGCTAAGCTGCCCATGAACACCTGGACACAGTCCAGGGCCACTTCTCTGACCAATCTATCAGCTCTGAAAGGAAGGACAGGGAGGGGATTGGTGAGGGCAGAAGGGGACCCCTTCCCCCAGCAACACAGGCCCCTGGTCATCAGCCAGGGTCCAGCAGCCAAAGCCTGACCACTCCCGCTCTCTTTGGTTATGAGATTTTACCCCCAAACTTTTTCTTTGGAGAATGCTCAAAGGTAAGGTACAGAGAAGTTGGAAGAATAAACTACGTAACCAATGTACCATTATCACAAGAAAAGTACTATATATTCAATAATATGTAACATATGGGTTCATATTCAAAACTGTACAGTTATCCCAATATATCTTTTATAGATTTTTTTTGGATCCAAGATTTAATTAAGGTTTAATTTGTTATAATGATGTTAAGTCTCTCTAGTCCCTTCTATCTCCAATAGAGTCTCATTTTTCTTAAATAACATTGAATTTATTAAGGGAGCCTGGCTAATTTTTTTTAGACAGTCCCACATTTTGGATTTTTCTGTGTCCTTATTACTAGATTCAATTAAACAAGTTTGGCATGAATATTACTGGTAACATTGTTTACTTCTGAATTGTATCACATCAGAGGTCACATAATACCAGGCTGCCCACTATTGGTAACGCTGAATCGGATCACCTGGTAGAACTACTGGCTACCATCTTGTGGCATATTGTACCTTTAGAGTCAGTAAGTGATCAGTGAGGTAATAATACTCTTGAGCTCACATGAATATACTGCTCCACAGTAATCTTCCAGCAATTAGTATTTGCATTCATTGATGACCTGACCTGGGGGTTACAGAGCAGAGATTTTCTAAATTTGTCAGCCGATGTCATATAAAGAAGAGCTTTCCCTTTTATAATCTCTCTCTCTGATTATTACTATAAATCCATGAGGTGTTTTTATTATTCAATGTGCCACGGCTCGTCACTGTCATTAATTCTTTTTAATGTTGAAAATTTTCCATTTTTACCAGTGAGAGCCCTTGCAAACAGGCTTCTGGGTCCTTTGATATGGCCCAACTCTCCATGTTCCCAGAGCCCTGCTTACACTTCTGGAGCCTAACACTCGAACGATCACGTCATCTTGGTTTACTTATACGTCTGTCTCTCCTGCAAAACTACGAGTTTCTCAAGGCAAGGCCAAGGTCAGAGCTATCTTTTTGGCCCAGCGTGTAGCACAGCAGCTGGCACAAAAATGCCTGCGCAATTCCTCCCTGCAGCCGGGTGCCCTTGCTGCGCCAGAGCTGCTGCTGGGCTGTTCCTCTCCAGGCAACCCCTCCACCATGTGAGTGAGGCCTCCGGCTCCAGCCACAGAGAAAGGCTCAGGCTCCGCCGGCAGCTCACAATGGGCCCTTTGACTCAACGGGATGAGGCTCTTTCAGGAAAAACACGTTCCCAGCCATAGCACCCGTCACTAAGGCCAGCACTCCTGGAGCCTCAAGGCCACACAGAGCCTACATTCACCAAGAAGCAAGGGCAGGGCCAGGAGGCAGCAAAGCAGCCTGACTTCTGGGAAGATGGCAGATGGGGGGCAAGGTCAAGACGGCCTTTCATCACACAGCTGCTGACATGCAGGCTCTGTGAATAGCCTGGATGGAGGATGGCGGGAAAAGGGGTTAAAATAAAAAAGAGTACAAAGACGGGAACTGGTCAGGGCTTCGCTTCAGAGATGGCTTACCTTCTCTCTTCTTTCAACCCTCTTTTCACTTGACTCAGACACTGGACTTTCAGGAGGTACGGTCAGCCGTAGTCTGCAGACATTTGCCTAAGAGAGACGAGAGAAGAGGCCTGTTATGAACCTGCATTTGCAGCAGCCAGATGGCCTGGGGCTTCTCAGAGCCTCTTTCCCCTACTTAGCAATGGTGATGATGGTACCAATCTCACAGGGGACGCTGTGGTAAGACCAGCCTTTGCCTGGCCCATCACAGGCACTCATCACCTCACTGCTTATGTTTTATGTTTTCCTTGTTTGGGAAACTACTGAATAGTTTCACAGAGTTCAAACATTTTTTGAAATGGCTCATGTTCCGTCACAGTACAGAACGATCTGATTTCACATCCATAGGCCAAAATACAGCTAGAAGGATAGAGGCCAAACTATACACAGTGGTGATGGGGTAGGAGGGTGCTTTCTACTTGACTCTGTGTTGGCTCTTCCTATAACAGACATGTACATGTTTAATCACAACATTTTTTTAAAAGTCTATATACCCATGTTCACAGCAGCATTATTCACAACAGCCAAAAGGTAGAAACATCCCAAATGTCCATCAATGCATGAATGAATAAAATGTGGTACGTACAAAGAACAGAATATTATACAGCCTTATAAAGGAAGAGAATTCTGACACATGCTACAACATGGAGGAAACTTGAGGACATTATGCTGAGTGAAATAAGGCAGGCACAAAAGGACAAATCCAATATGCTTCCACTTACATGAGGTCCCCAGAGCAGTCAAATTCATAGAGACAGGGCTTCCCTGGTGGCGCAGTGCTTGAGAGTCCGCCTGCCGATGCAGGAGACGCGGGTTCGTGCCCCGTTTCGGGAGGATCCCACATGCCGCGGAGCGGCTGGGCCCGTGAGCCATGGCCACTGAGCCTGCGCGTCCGGAGCCTGTGCTCCGCAAATGGGAGAGGCCACAACAGTGAGGAGTCATCCTTTAATGGGTATGGAGTTTCAGTTCAAAACAATGAAAAAATTCTGGAGATGGACGGTGGTGATGGTTGCACAACAATGACAATGTACTTAACGCCACATGATGTTTATTTCATCCTATTGTCACAGGCTGGTCCTACTGTGACATTTTCCAGAGAGAAGTGATCCTGCCATTAAAACAACACCACCAACAAAACCCCAGAGGGCCAAAGCGGCACCCAGAGTGCCCAGCCCACAGCCAATTGCACTCACGAGAGCACTGCTTGTCCCTGTTATGGGTTGAATTGTGTCCCCCTAAAATGTATTATGTTGAAGTCCTAGCACCTCAGAACGTGACTTTATTTGAAAATAGGGTCTTTATAGAGGTTACAGAAGTTAAAATGAGGTCATCAGGGTGGGTCCTAATCCCAAATAACTGGTGTCCTTATATAACGGGGAAATTGGGAGACAGACACACATACAGGAAGAACACCATATGAGCATGTGAAGGAGAAGGGCCTGGAAGAGACCCTTCCCTCACAGCCCCCCTAAGGAACCAATCCTGCTAAAACCTTGATTTTGGACTTCCGGTCTCCACAACCGTGAGACAATACATTGCTGCTGCTTAAGTCACCTGGCTTGTGGTACCTTTTTGCAGCACCCCTAGCAAACTAATACACCCCCCAACCTGGTTTGCAGGGTCACAGATCTGCACTGGTCCACAGGGCAGCTTCTGGGCAAAAGTACCCTGCATCCAAGAAGCCCAGGGTTGGATATGATTGTAAAAGACCTTTGAATGCCAATCTGCCAGCCTACGAAGGAACCCCTTAACCCAACAGTGCTCCTGGCAGGTGGACACCCAGCCTGAGGGTAACATTTTCCAAGTACAGGTGAGAGCACATTTGGGACACGTCAGCACTTCCACACACACCACTGCCTCCCTCTGAGGTACCCCATTTTGCTACCTGACACCTCTAGCTTCCTGATAATGAACTTACAAGTTCTTCCTCAGAACTCCTACCTCATGGACCCAGGGTGCCCTCGGGGACTGCAACAGAATTCCCTTTACTCTTCACAGGCCTGAACCTCCTTTCTTCTGCACTAAAGAACCCCAGTTCTTTCAGCCATGTGATTTGGTTTCAAGATCCTTCTTTATCCTCACTCTCCTCTGGGCAAGCTTTGACTCCAGTGATCCCAGGGTGAGACGTGGCCTGACACATGGCCAACTTTGCAATAGACCTTCAAAGCTCATCGCCAGTCATGCTGGCCAAAGAGTAACCAAGCCATCCCAGCACATAGCTCTCTTAGCTGACAATCCACAACGCTGATGGGAATTCGAGGGCCTCCAGAGAAAGGTAACCCTTTGACTTCAGGCCACTTGGACTGGTTGAAAACAGCTGGCATTTACACAAACATCAGAGTGTAACTCACACCAGGCAGGTAATCCAAGTCTGTGATGCTCAATAATCTTGTCTGGTAGGCTGGATCTGAGCCACAGCACAATTTTGCAGAGAAAAGGAAGGGCTTTTCTCCTGCACCACATCCCACACACCCACACACACCCACACACCCACCCACACACACACACACACACACACACACACACAGAGTATGCGCACACATGTATATACCTACACAGGTGCACATGCACATACACAGGTTCCAACACCTACTAGGCTGTGTTGATGATGAGCAAACTATTTAATCTCTCTGAATCTCAAGGGTAAGAGGCAGGTAAAGGAAGATGTCTGGCACATAGTAAGCCTCTATCAGTGTTAGATATTTTTATCATTATCTAGATATTATCATCATCCTACAAGCTCCAAAATGATATAGCCTTAAGTGGCTTCCCGGCTCTGCTTTCTATAATACTAAACAATTTGGTCAACGGATCTAATGGGTATTAGTACTGCAACTGATACCTTTTTTTAGGCTGATTGCCCTAGAGGGGTAATCCCTAATGGCAATAATTTTCAGAATAAACCAAAAACCTGAAGAAAAGACAAGGCCCAGAAGGGACCTCATGGGTCCAATCACTCAAAATGAGAAGTCTCCTCCCCCTGACTGAGACAATTCTTTATTTGTCCACTCAGAACTCCGATACTCCTCAACACACTTCCCGTAAGTCTCCCCGAGCCACGTATACCCTACGGTACACGCAAAGATGCAGGATAAAGAGAATGCATGTCTCTAAACTATCAGTTTTACCTGGCGATAGATAATGAATTAAAATAAAATGAACATGTAAAATAAACATTTGACTTCAAAGCTATCTGGCAGGTGCAGCAGGTGCAGCAGGTGCAGCAGGTGCTTGCGGCTACACCCAGGCCCCTGTGTAGAGTGTTCACTCTTGTCATTAGAAGTGCTTTTATGGAAGCAGTAAGGCATGGGTTCCACGTGGTGCTTGCATTCTGTAATCAGTGCTGATCCACAGATGGACTGACTATACAGATGCAATTCCAACCCAGCTTGGAACAGGATCAGACCCTTCCTAATAAGATGGTCAAATGTACTGTCATGTGAAAAAAAGAAAGATGCTGGGGGGAAAAATGTTAACAATAACCCCATTTTCGTTTTTTAAATACAATCTGATAATCTGTATAGATTTGTGGGGGGAAAAAAATGTCTTTAAGGAAACACAGCCAGCTGCTGCTGGTGGTAGTGGTGGTGATCTTTGGAAAGTGCGATTTCTGTGATGTCTACACCTGTTCCAAGTATGTGTAAGTTTTTAAATTAAAAATCATAGTAGTCAGAGCAATAATAAAGATTGAGAGCAACTATATCAGACAGAGAGAGAGAGAGAGAGAGAGAGAGAGAGAGAGAGAGAGAGAGAGAGAGAGAGAGAGAGAGA